CCCCCCCCCCCCCTTTGCTCGGGCCCCAGCCTGTGTCCCCGGTGCTGCAGCCGCCGCCTCTGCCCCGAAGCAGGAGGGCGCCGGCCACTCCGTGCTGGCCGGCTGGCTTCTCCCGGGGTGGGTGTGGGGCTCAGGTGCGCGGTCCTTGTCTTCCTGCAGACTTTAAGGACATGCTGAATAAAGTGTAGGACACCATGGAGGAAGCGGACTTCCTGGCCGTTGACGGGGAGTTCTCAGGTAGCAGTGGCACGGCCTGGGGCTGCGGGCACCTGCCCCTGCTGCGTGGCCTTCCCTGGGTGCAGGGGTCTTGGGGGAGAGAGAGAAAGCACCGGCTGCCTCAGAGCAGGAGACGTAGATGGGTCAGAAAATGCCCAAACATGGCCAGCAGTCACTTGGCAGCGCAGCCCTCTTCCCACTCATCCCCTTGCCCCCTGGTTTCAGCAACGCGAGGGCTCGTTGGCGTCATGATGCCAGTCTCGCACGTTGCTATGTTGGCCTTGTGTACGTTGCAGATGTAGGGCAGAGCATGGCCTTCTCAGATGCGCTCTGAACACTTCACTGTCTGTTAGGAGTTCACTGAGCTTTGAATGACAGCAGTTAACTAGCATCTGTGTTTTCAAGATGCGTGTTCATCCCTGGTGGAAAGGTGCTTTTACAGAACAGGAACTTTCTGCTGCAATACGATGTTCTGCACCTTAAGTAGAGGCAACTCACTTAACCCAGCTTTCAGTGCTTTTCTCACTTACTCTCTTTAAGGGGGTTCAGTAAAATAAAACTATTCCCTAAATTTTTAGGCATTAGTGATGGGCTATCTGCTAGTGCATTAACTAATGGCTTTGACACACCAGAAGAAAGATATCAGAAACTTAAAAAGGTAACTTTTCAATGTAACCCCTGAAACATTTTGCCTTTCCTTGTAGGTGGTACAGTGTAACTGAGATTATCCTCATTTATTTCAGGCGTGTATCAGTGTGTGATGTCAGGCTCTTTATGGAGACCAGAAGATTTTTGCTTGCCTTTTTAATATGGCTCAGAGAGAACAATTTGAACTTCATGAATAAAATGTGGTTACTAACTTTGCTTGTAGAATCCAGTATTAGCCTGATTATACAATACAGAAAATACTACACGATCAAAATATTTATTGAGAAAAGCAATGCTGTGTACTGGTGCACACACTTGTTCCCTCTGAGCGAGATCAGAACTGAACAGAGCTGTGTTTTCCTCAGGGAGCCCCTGGGATGAAAGGAGCTGTCACTTGCCCAGCTACTACTGAAATGCATGCCCAGCAGGGCTGTGTACCCAGGAAATGTGGTATTAACTCCCCCCGAGCCCTCTGGCTTGTAACTTCAGTGTATCCTGCTTTAGATGTATACACTTTAAAACAATAGATGAGTTTCAGTAGCCTAGTGCTATGATTATTGTGTTCAGTCTATGCTAGTGCTTCTGCCTGTGTGCACTGATGCTACCTGTATACAGTACCAACAGGATGTAGTTGGGGAACTTCATCATTTATGTTAATACAGCATCTGATCCTGTGCTCAAAGGAGAAAAAAGCTACCAAACAGAAGCCCCAGCTCTGTCATATGAAATGGGGGTTTTACAACGGTTCACAACCCTTGTCACAGATGATACCAAATTATGGGGCAAAGTTAATACACCAGAGGGCAGGGAGCAGTCACAGGCCAACCTGGACAGGTTAGATCAATGGGCAGAATGTAATAGGAATGTAATTCAACAAAGATAAATGTAAGGTACTCCACCTAGGAAGGAGGAATCCCCAGCACACCTACAGGTTGGGGGATGTCCTTCTCAGCAGCTCAGAGGATGGGAGAGATGTTGGAGTCATAGTTAACTCCAAGATGAACATGAGCTGGCAGTGAAACGAGGCCATCAACAAAGCCAACTGCACCTTGTCGTGTATTAGCAAATACATGACCAACAGATCAAGGGAGGTGATGCTCCCCCTGTATGCAGCACTAGTCAGGCCGCAGTTGGAGTACTGTGTCCAGTTTTGGTCGCCGCACTTCAAGAGGGACGTGGAGGATTTGGAAAGGGTTCAGAGGAGGGCCACCCACATGATTAGTGGTCTCTGTGAAAGACCCTACAAGGAGAGGTTGAGAGATCTGGATCTCTTCAGCTTATACAAAAGACAGCTGAGTGGTGAACTTGTGCCCGCCTATAAATTTATCAGGGAAGGACAGCAGGGAATTGGGGATGCACTGTTTTCCAGAGCACCCCAGGGAGTAACTAGGAATAATGGGTGCAAACTAGTGGAGAGTAGATTTAGGTTAGACATTAGGAAGAAATGTTTTACAATAAGGGTGGCCAGAGTCTGGAATGGGCTTCCAAGAGAGGTGGTGCTGTCACTTAACTTGGAAGTCTTCAGGAAGAGGCTTGACAATCACCTGGCTGGGGTTGTCTGACCTTGGTCCTCTTCTTGCTAGGGGCAGGGGGTCAGACACGATGATCCATTGGGTCCCTTCCGACTCTATAATCTATGAATCTATATGAGTTCTAACCTGAGTGAGTCTTTCCAAAAGCAAGCATCTAAGAGCAGGCTTTTCACAAATAAACACCCCAGATTTACAACTTCCACAGTACTGAACATAGGCCATGAAGGGAACTCACTCAAAGAATGTACAAGTTTATTAGGGGGTCATCCCCAGGATGACTTAAGGCTCCAGGTTATTATTTTAATATAAAACTATATACTTTATTAAGAGAGTGCTTATTATCACTAGAGTATCTAGGTACCTAGATAATTCAAGGAAAACAATTACAAAATATTAAAAGGAGTTATAACCTGCTTAAAAACTCTAAAAATCAGAAAACATAAACACCAAAACCCAGAAACCTATAGTTTTAGTTTAAAAAAATCCTTGGTTTATTAAAAACCAAGGAATTAAGTGGGCATTGGCTGGAGTATTCAAAAGCACCTAAATGACTTAGGAGGTTAACTGTCATTTCCAAAAAGGAATCCCCTCTACTGAGGCACCTAACTTTGGCATTAGGTGCTTAAATGGCTTCAAGGCCTTTCAGTGAGATATAGGCTTCTAAGTCACTTTTGCAAATATGTTGTAGTTGCTTTTAAAATGTTACTCACTGTAAAGGGCCAGCAGGCCCAAGGTAGCATTATTTTTCCTACTCTGTACTCGTCTCCAGAGTCCATATCATGCATGGGTGGAGTTTCTGTTTTCAGAGTAATGTTTTGTGGATGTTCTTAAAAAAATTAAAAAGCAGCAATAACAATTCAGAAATTGTGAGAAGTCCCATAGCAAATCTGTCAGTTTTCAAATGATGAAGGAAGGACAGTTCATGAGAAATTCTGGAAATTGTAGTGTCATTTAAAAGGGCACTGGAGAGGTTCTTATAAACATCAGTAGGGACTAAGATTAAAAAAAAAAAGATTGTCTAAGTTCTCAATGCTAATGTCAGTTCTTGTGCCATCTCTCCCCCTCTCCCCTGATATACACTTCACAGGTATCCTGGAAACTGGCTTCTGTTTCCATTAGTGGTCACTACCCTTATTTCCTATTCTCTCCTAGAATCTCTTCAGCTGACATTAATTTCAACCATACCCACCCTCCTTGAACCCTTAAAAATGAATTCAGGAATTGGGGGGTTAATGGCATTAACACCACAAATGCTTCACTGTTAAAAATATCCAGCATTCTCCAAACTAAAAGAGCATGCTGGGAGCTTTTTTTCTATCTGTACAGACAACAGTCAGATGTTAGACAAGTCTGTTTTTGGTTTCACCATTGTCCTTGGTAGGAGAGAAGTTAGAGTCTTGTTCTGCACTTGATTTCCTTTCTGCTGAATACTGGTCCATTTCCTGAACTTCTAAAGTCACCTTATTCCTTTTGGCAAATGCCTGGCTGATTTCATGAAGAGTCTTATTTTTTGTTTCAGGTAGGACAAAAAACAGATAAGTAGCTCCAGCAAGGCAGATGCCAGCAAACACCAGGAAACAGTATGTCTGCAAGCCACCCTGTGAACAGAAAATAAAGGAAATCAGTCTTAAAGAGGCAAATATCATAAGAACAAAAAAAAAAATGTCTAGGAATCATTTGGAAAAAAAGCAAGTGCATGGAACTGAATTTTTATTGGGAGACTTGAAGCAATTTCTGACAGCATACAATAATAATACAGTAATACAGCATACAGTAATAATAGCAAGTCAGAGCACAAGCCATTAGCTCTTAGAAGTTGCATAAAAAGTACTGGTAATGACTAATTTTTAAACTAGTTTAGAAAGAGAAGATAGAAGGAAGCTCCCTCTACATTCATTCAATGGGCCTTCACATCTGGGTTGGCCTTAAAGCAAGGAAATCACAAAGATGGAAGCAAGATTCTGCTAGGGCAATCCAAAGCAAGTGGGGAAGGAAGAAAGATGCAATCATAGCTCCATTCCCTCACTCACACAATTGAAATACAGCTTGGCATTGGTCAGCACCTCTGAACACCATGCTAGTTCTGATTTATGTGCCTAAACTAGGGATTTGAACCTCTGGGTTGGAAAATGTTGGTTTACATTACTAGTAGCCAGAGGTAACTCAAGCAGGGTGCGGGACCTGGGGCAAATCAGCCCACGAGGGGCCCTGCCCCCACTCTGATCCTGGACCCAAAGAAGCTGCCACTACCACTGGCAGCAGCAGTGGCAGGGGGAGGGCAGTAGCAAGCAGCTGGACGTGGAGCCGCTGCTGCTCCGCCCAGCTCCGCGGGCCCCCCCAAAGCACGGGGCCCGGGGTGGTCGCTCCGATTCCCTGTTACCTTTCAGCTCCGTGTTCTTGGGGAATCCTAGCACAGGACGCAGCCTGTTTGACTCACCAAGAATTTCCCCCGCCCCCAAACAAAACTGATTAAGATGCAGTGGGAGACACACCTAAAACCCACCAGATAAGGATGACAAGAGTGAAACAACTGCCCTAAGTTTCATTTGCATCCAAGATGGAACCAGATGACCATTCATTTACATGGGAGATGGAGAACAGAATGCTTGAAGCAGAGACCGCAGTGAATTCTGGGATCAGAGAAGCAGGGGAGCACGGCATGATGGGGAAACTGTGCTCCAAATGCTAATCAACCCACATTTACACACACCCAGCTCAGCATTTATCAGAACAATTCTAATCTGGATTTACAAAGGACTCCCTGCCCCCCCCCCACACACCTCTAAGCAGAAGTAAAAGTTTACTAGGCATCTCGGGCCATACATTCCCTGGTCCCACTATGGGAGGCCTATTTAAACTTGATTGACTAAAACTCGGTTGCCGGGTTAGGGAATGCTGAGTCAAAGAGACAGAGTCAGAGGGGGTATGGGCAATATTTGAACAGTGGTAAAGAGTTCATCTCAGCATCCAGCCCGTTGGAGCCCTGACCACAAGTGTTGTCATACTTTTTCCGGGATGACTGGTAGAAGTCCTCCCCACAAAAGGTTATGAACACTCCAATAATTGCCTTAAGTCTGTTAAAAGACTATAGTAAGATCTGGAAAAGTCATGCTAAGCTGAGGCTTGTTCACAGCAAGTAAAAATCCAAAACCTGATGCTGCAAGCTATCTATTGCTTCTGAAGAAACAATGAGATATCCCAATCAGTATATCTGCTATCCATAGGCATTTCAAACTGGCTCCTAAGTGTCTAGTTACTCCTTAACCTTATGTTTTTCATGATTATCAATCAGTTTCTTGAGATGTTCCAAACCAGATAACCCCTTGTCAATAGAAAAGACAATTATTTACACTATTAAGAATGCTTTGAAGAAGCTGAACTGAGGGTATAAAAATCTTTCAAAAATGTGTGTGTGCGCTTCAAGAGTAGAAGTCTCTTTGATACCATCCACTGTTGTTCTCAGAAGCTGAAAGAAACAGATCATCTCCCTTCAAGGACTGTACTAAGAACTTTACCTGTCAGCATTGAAACCTGAGTGCCTTGGACTGGTGAGATCCCAGCTCTTGCTCTCTCTTTTCTCTCTTCTCTCTAGGCATAGATTTCTGAACCTGAACTGTATTAGTTAAGCTTGAGCTAAGTTTCCCCAAATACTTAGTGAAACCAGGGTAGTATTGTAATTGTTTGTGTTTGTTTTTCCTTTGCATGTCTATTACTACTAGTACCATTATATATATTTCATATACTTAGCAATAAATAACTTTTATAATCAAACTGGTAGTAACTGGGTATATTTTTCCTTCTCTACTTCTTCTTCCCCACTTGCTCTGCAGCAATGCTTCTTTTACCTAAGCTAAAGATCCCTGTGAAGCCCAAAAATACTGTGGGGTCTGCTCATCAAGCAGCTAAATATTGGGATGTGCTGAGTTTGAAACACATCACCTTGTACAGGCTGATTGATCCAGTTTGGCTCAGATGTGCCTTAATGAACTGAATGCTGGCCCATGAGGGTGTCAGCTGGACACCCAGCCGGATTCAGAGGTATTCTGTTTACCTGTGTGCTTGTGCCTGACTGCAGTTTATTGTTGCCCTGATGAACTGATTCTTGGCATATGAGGGTGTCAGCCTGTCCATGCTGATATACCCAGCCAGGTCAGGCATGTCACGTTAATGTGTGTGTGTTTGTGTGCATATGACTGATTTGGTGGCTGGAGGAACCCAGCCCCAGTGAAACTGAGTCCTGCAAGAAACTCCATTGGGGGTGAGGGGTTGCAGAAGGGAGAGAGACAGCTCCGTATAGAAACACGAGTAACACAAGCAGCACATTGATAGAATTACAAAGACCCTAAAAACGTATCCCTAATAAATGAGCACACCCCAAAGTGATGGGCAAATCTGGTAACACCCCCTAGAGACTGTCCTTGCTACTAGCACCCACTTCTATGTAAGTAATACAACAGTACAAATTTGTCATAGCCAGGTGTGAGCTGCATTATAATAAGTAATCACAGATTCTGAAACTGAGGGACTCAGTTTTTAAGGGATATACAATAAATACTTCGCAAAAAGTTACCCTTCTCAGGTAAGTACATAGAACTTACTGCAAATGGGCACAAGCTATCCTACTGTTCTCTGTCCATTTTGTCCAATGGGCATTAAATAAAAAATGCAGAAATATTACTGTGGGTGGGAATACAAGCCAGAACCCAGGATTCCCTCCCTTCCACCTCACTGAACGATTTTTTATACTGGTTTACTTTCCTTATGGCCCCACATATTTTCCCCTCTTAGCTGTGCAGTGGATCAGCTTCAACAGGAGTTGAGGGTGTTCTTAAAAAAACTTACATGGCTCCTGGCTTGCTTGTTAAGGAACTCTTTTGGAAAGTGGGAGAGGTGGGTATGCCCCCTCTCTGGGTATGCAGAGCTGAGAACCCAGATTTCACATTCTTTGGCCAAGTGCCCTTACCACCACGCTACTGGGCTAAAGGTGGGATGGCCCTCTCTGCTATTGTCATCATTTCTGAGTGACCCCCTGCCTGGCAGAGAGTAGAATCCAATGTCTGTATAAATGCTTCTTGCCCATCTAAAGCTGGACTTGGAGTTGGCCCTCTGTATTTCTTTACCAGTAACTACTCTAGTGAGCCTGTCTATGCAAGTGGTTGCTAGGTAAAGTTCTGTTAGTGACTTGGATACGTTAGTCTCGGTAACGTTTTTTAAAAAAATATTCTATAGCATTTCAGTCACAGTACTGGAAACTGCATATTCTTTAAATTGCAAATGCAAATTGTGACACACTGAAGTTAAAGACAAAAACTCTTATTGGCTTCTACGGGGCCAAGTTTTCAACACAAGTAAACATCTCCTTCTTCCCTGTATTTATAAAACAGTATTCACTTAAGCCATCTGTATAGAGCCCAAACCTTTGACTTACTATTATTAGTAGGGCAAAATTAAATAAAAAGCCTTTTCTGGAACTGCAAAATGCAGAAGTCTTTCCATGATGCCTTGTATGAGTTCATAAGTAGAGAATACAAGGAAAAAATGAACATTTCCAACACAGACAATAGCACATGTTCTAAGTCAGAGGTTACTGTAGGGCAAGTCATACAGAAGTCATGAAGTGAAGGGCTCAAAAGAGTACATCATTTAAACACAAATAGTTGAAAAACAGCTGAAGAAACTCCATCAAGGAAACCAGTTCTGAGAAACCCTTTTCCCCATGTCCCTCAGGCATCTCTGTGTCTTCCTCAAAGCTGGCTTTCTACCTAGTCCCCTTCCAAATCTCATGCATAAAACCTATGTTGTCTCTCATTTAGTTTCTTTCTAAATTTTTGTTCTGCATAATCCTAAGAGAAATGAACTAATTAAAGTGTCATGTTTACACACCAAAACAAAGAGTCATTATGTAACTCTGATTTCCCTCAAACTTATATTTTCATTCTGATTTGTACTCCCATGTCTACACTGTGGACTGTTTATGCCCTTGTTCTTGTTTTGCAGACTGTTGATGTGTGTTTGTCTGTACAATGCCTAGCAGTATTATATATGTCCTATTCGGTTATCCAATCTTGCATCAGCTACATATTCATGTACTTACTGGCAAAGACAAAAAAGAAATTCCCTCACTCTCATTGTTCTAATATTGCAGCTGAATTACTAATTTATTAAGCCACAATGTTACCATGGATAATCTATCATCAAGCTTAAAAACAGGCAAAAGCAAATAGTTGTAATAGATATGGAAATAACTTCTTGGTGTGTTCATAAATTCTCCTGTCAGCTTAACAACCAGAATTTGTACCAGAGCTTTCTACATTTGAAGTAGTTTAATAAGGTTTCAGTTTTGTGTTTGCACACTTGTCACCTTATTCCTTTAAATCCCTCATTAAATAATATCTCTGCCTACAAATTAATGCTAACTTACATGGCAACTAACTGCTTATGTCTGTTTTAGAGAAATGTGCCACTTGATATTTTGTCTTCACTCTCTCATGTATTTATTCATTTCCTGTTGTGTATTGTCTAACTCAGTGGTTCTCAACCTTTTTGCATTTGAGCCACCCCTCAGAAAATGCTAGCTCTTAGCTTTCACTTCTTTTTA